GGTGGGACAGAAATTTTGTATTTTATCTGACGTGACGTCATATTTACACTATCAGGGCCTCTATCTACCACCGGTGGGACAGGCCCTTATAATCACATATTTTACACGTTCGATTGTTATATTTTGACAGGCCGTAATTGTACGTAACAAGACAATTTTTAATGGAATTTTGATTTATTTAAAATCTAGATGTTTGTACTTATCGCGCAAAAGGATCTAAAGTATGAAAATAATTGCTGATAAAATCTAACAATTACCGATATCTTTAAGATTTTTATCAAAAACATCGATTTTAATTGTTACTTGTCAAAATTTTTGACAGGAACTAGTTAAAAGCCGTGTTCAAATAATTAGCTGCAGCGTGTATTACAGTTTCAAAGATAAACGTTTACAGTTGATTTCCACTGATAGAAATTTTTTTTTTATCTAAATTTTTTCCATAGAAAATGAGGTTATTGTCCGGTATTTCCGGTACTAGACACGTACGGTTATATTTACGTTTATAACCTCAAAAATGATACCTTCGACAAGGTACGTATTTTTGTCGTTTTAAACATCCATACATCCAAACTTTCGCATTTTTTGTTTTAATATTAGCAGATTTTTATTAATTCACCAATATTTCTTGTACCATTACAACTAGGTATAGTAAACTGTAGGATTATGCTTAGAATGGTTTGTGACAATTTAAAGGGCGGGATTCGAACTCTCGATCGGAAATCCATACGGGTTTCATATCTTCTTGAGAATACTCTTGGCTATAGGTACTTCTAAATATTTATAATACTAGCTCTTGTCCCGCGACTCCGCGCGGAATTAAAAAAAAACAATAGTGAGTAGCCTATGTGCTCTTCCAGATTATCCTCCACATCTATGCCAAATTTCATCGAAATCCGTTCAGCCGTTTAGGCTACAAGCTCTAACAAACATCCATCCATCTAAACTTTCGCATTTATAATATTGGTAAGATTAGTATTGAATATCGTAGGAAAAATCCTTCAAAGAATTCCTATTTATACAAAAAAATTGTACACATGTAATTGTCACTTAAGTATTCGATAAGAAATGAAATAATCAATGTAACTTCGATTTTATTACTTAAAAGAATGATATCATTTTACCACAGATTCAATTAATATAATCAGTATTATCAAGTATTAATATAAATTCTAGATAATTAGACATTTCATTTGTTATACTGCTAAGCGATAGACGCTACCGTTTCTTGTTAAAGAGAACTATGTGAATAGGTGAGTTTTTTTTTATTTTTAATCTACAAAAAAACAAAAAAGTGGCACGTTCCTTTTCGGTTTTTGAAATTGGAATTTAAATTTGGAATTCGACATTGTTTTAAAAATAATTTGACGCATTGTCGTATTTAAAGATAAAAAGCCTTCTTCAGACCTTCTATTCGACTAGCGGTGCGTCCTGGTTTTACACGTGTGAACATTTTATATAAAATTATAGGTTATATTACATGTAAATAATGTATTCTTATGGTGAAAGAGTTGTTTAAATCGGGGCAACAGTGGTACGATAGTTTTGGAGTTTACAAACGCTTACAAAAGGTAAAAAAAAACAAAAATGGGTAGTATTGTTCCAGAATATGCTCTACATCTATGCATTTTAGTTGTTTAGGCGGCAAACTCTATCAAACATCCATACATTTAAACGTTCGCATTTATATTAGTCAAATTAATAAAACTACAAGAACCTACGTTTTAATTGCCACGTACCGCTCGTATCTATTTATATTTTACGCAAGCAAAACCGGAGACCAACACATAACTAGTTCATATAAATATAGCTTTAGCCTGCGATTCCGTCCGCGTGGAATTAAAAAAACAAAAGTAAGTAGCCTATGTGTTCTTCTAGACTATCCTCTACGTCTTTGCCAAATATCATCGAAATCCGTTCAGCCGTTTAGGCTACAAACTCTAACAAACATCCATCTAAACTTTCGCATTTATAATATTAGTATGATGTAAAAAGATATCTATGCGATATAGCTAAAATCAATTAATCATTACCTTAAGCCTGTTTAATACGTGAATTATTGTTGTGGAAAATTTGGCTTTTATTTTTACGTAGAAACTGCGATTTCATCTGAATACAGTATTTATTTAATCTCACTAATATTATAAATGCGAAAGTTTGGATGTATGGATGTTTGTTAGAGTTTGTAGCCTTAACTGCTAAACGGATCTCGATGAAATTTGCCAAAGACGTAGAAGATAGTCTAGGACACATAAGCTACATAATTTTGTTTTACAACCGTCTCGTGTAGGGTTACGTTCTTTAATATTTGTGTGTTTTACTAGCTTTCGCCAGCGATTTTGCGCGGAATTAAAAAAAGTTAGTAGCCGATGTGTTTTTCTAAACTTTCCTCTACATCAGTACCAAATTTCATCCAAATCCGTTCAGCCGTTAAGGTTCCAAACTCCAACAAACATCCAGCCATCCATCTTGATTTTCGAATTTATAATATTAGTATGATTAGATTAACAGGAAACATGTGGTATTCCATTGTCAGTCATTTTCCAAAGGAAATAGTAAGGAAAACATATTTTCTGCTAGCTTTCGCTAGCGACTCCGTCTGTAATTGTATAAAATAAAAGTGTAGCATATGTGTACTTCCAGGCTATCCTCTACATCTATACCAAATTTTATAGAGATCCGTTCAGCCATTTACGCTACAAACAACCATCCATCTTGACTTTCTCATTTATAATATTAGTAAGATGTAAGAGTTAATTCTTCAGTAGTAAACATCTTAAAGATGTTATAAAAGGACATACAAACTAACTCTAATATCAATATTTCGGATTAATGTGGATTAACAACTGAAGTTTAATTCGATAAACATTTTAAATCTGTTTTGTTAATATTGTTTCCATGTGTTGGAAGTTATACGTCAATTGTTTATCTTTGTCATGCAATATTATAAAAATTATTTTTTTGGATAACCTCAAAAACTACGAAATTAGATCTTTTAGTTATAAATAATTGGGTATTTTAACCTGTTTATAGGTTAACAATCGACGCATATACAAAATTCCGATTTCCATGCATCATGGCGGCACAATATTGTCGGGGTCATATACTACGAGTATAATCTACTCATAATTGTTCTGATTGATGAAAATCTATCCAAAAATGTATCGTTGTTCCTTTTTTTCTATTGAGAACGAAAGGGAGAGAATGAGTATATCGGTAGAGTTAGGTTAAGAAAGAGATAGACGGAGTAGGAAGGAAGTGACGACTGAGATAGATGGATTGTTCTGGATGGAAGTCTGCGCTCTTGCATAATGTCGGATAAGGACAGCGAGATGTTGAGAATGAGATAGCATGTGTATAAATGGTTTCACTGTGTAGGAAATTTGTCGGTGCATCGGCTTTTAATGTTGGCATGAAGCAGATAATTTCTTTGTAATCTTGTTGCGTTAATTGTGATTTGATTTTTGAATTACTCGCACTTATATTTTATTGGTTTACAGGACTATTTAAGTTTTATTATTATTTTAGGTTGTAAAGATAAAGTATTTTGATTCATATTTAAATGACGATTATGTAATGTTAACATGAAGGTATATAAATACATCAAGTTCGAAACCCGATCTTATGGATACAAACATGATTGAGGTATTTTCTTTAAATAACACATTAATTAACGAAATTTTAAAACTAAAACATAAAAGTCCGAATTCCTAACTAAATTGGCTTAGTCTCTTTATCAGAATTAATCTATTTTTGCTTTTGATCCAAGTTAAACAGACAACAAAAACTTTTTCATCAAAAAAAATCAGTAATTTTCACTGAAAAGTCTGGAAAAATGATTTATTTGATATTTTCCTTATCTAAGATATCTGTCTAGTTACAATCTGACAATTAAATCGGACACGTACCAATTAATTAATGCAATATTGCCTAATTTTTAGTCCCCTTCCCTTTCCATCCTTTTCTTAAGAGGAAAGGATGGGACGGAAAAACGGATTTGACGGTGAAAGAGACGCGTAGGAAGGGGAAATATCCTCTTTATGTGCGTCTCCTCCGTCAGTTAAGGGTAGGCGACGCATCTGCAATTGCGGATGTTTATGGGCAGCGGTCGCTTTCCATTTCGGTGGATTCAGGTGGCCGCTTGTGTGCCACTTCATATTATAAAAAAAATTGAAACAAAATTAAACAATACTGGCCAGTACGTAGTTTTAAATAATTTAAGTACGTAGTCCATAAAAGTTTTAATAAATCTAACTTAAACCCGATACATAGAGGGGTAGGTGGTAAGAGTGGTAGAGACGACGGACACCCATTTCATTTACACTCTAACACATGCTCGTTGGATTTGAGTGCTCTTAGGCCGGCTACACACGTTCAGTTATAAATGAGAATATTAACTGAAATATAATAATTGCACCCATTGTTTGTAATTCAATTTAAACTTCTAGTATTGCTTGTTTATATTACACGAAATAAGATAGAAAATTTCATATAGAGTTTAATTAATAACTAGCTTTCGCCCGCGACTCCGTCCGCGTGGAATTAATTAAATACGAAGTGAGTAACCTATGTTTCCTTCCAGATAATCCTCTACATCTATACCAAATTGCATTGAAATCCGTTCAGACGTTTAAGCTACAAACTCTAACAAACATCCATCCATCTAAACTTTCGCATCTATAACATTAGTATTAGTGTGATAGTCATATTTTATTTTGAATATCTTTATTAGCTTACATCCAATAAAACAGTCTATATAGATAAAGGGAAAGAACATAGAGTAATTTATTTATTCTATGATAGGATTTTTTTTAATTTTGTTTTATTATCGGCTTCATTTCTACAAAATGAAACTATGTTATGTCTGCGAATAATCAAAATCGGTCATCTCCCTGAAATGCTTAACACGTTGACTGCGGCAAGTAAAATCATAATTCTTTATGTGCTGCGGCGGCAGGCCGAAATGAGCCCCCAATGATATTTCCGCCAGTGAGTGGCAGGTCTTTATAGATCTACCAGCACTAGGATAGAATAAATTGCTATAACTTGATGGAAACATAATGTATACATTTTTAAACGACTTCCCAAAAGAAGGAGGTACTCAATTCAGCTGTATGTTTTTCATGTGTGTTACGGCATAACTCCGCCGCTAGTGGGTCGAGTTTGATAATTCTTTTTTTTATCCGAAAGATAGTACCTGCAGGTGGGTCCCATTTTTTTGGTTGATTTTTATGTAATGCATACACCTGACATAATCGTTTCCCTTTAGCAAGAGGGGCAAAGTTTTCTTCGTCCGCACCAGCTTAAGTACCGCGTCAGGTCGATATCGGCCTGTTACGTAGTGAACGTGTTAAAAAAGTTATGCAAAACCTAATAACGCCTTTAATATAAGCATGATTCATATAAAGCGTTTTTGATACTAAAATAATCTTTAGATCTCAAAGGAATCACGTGCGCACTTTGTTTTTTAAAAATATCACATCTAGATTGTCTATTTAAAGGTCAGTGATCCAGTAATACTTTTGTATTTTATGTCGATTTAATTATCATTTACTAGCTTTTGCATGTGACTCCGCGTAGAATTACAAAAAGTATCCAATGTATTCTTCCGGACTATACTCTAAATCTATGCCTTTCATCGAGGTCTGGGGCCTGGGTGATTTAATTCGTTGGCTACAGGTTAAAGATCTTGCGATGTTTATTGTTAAACTGCTTTCGTCGGCGAATCCGTCCGCGGGAAATTAAAAAAACTAAAGCGAGTAGCCTATGTGTTCTTCCAGACTCTCCCCTACATTACACCAAATTTCATCGAAATCCGTTCAGTAGTTTAGGCTACAAACAAAAACATCCGTCCATTTTACCTTCGACATTTATAAAATTGCTAGCTTCCGACCGCGACTCCGTCTGTGTGGAACAAAAAAAACAAAAGCGAGTAGCCTATGTGTCCTTCCAGATTATCCTCTACTTCTCTAGCAAATTTCATCGAAATCCGTTCAGCCGTTTAGGCTACAAACTCTCACAAACATCCAGCCATCTAAACTTTCGCATTTATAATATTAAGTATTTGTATTAGTATGATGTTTTCAAAAATCGAAGGTAATTTTCTATTAGTGTAATAACGTCAATGAAGGCGACTGTACTTTAATATGATAGCATTTCGGAAATAATTAAAAGTTTAAGCCTAGGTATAATTTCTTTTCTTGTCTATGAATTTGAAGGGCGCCGACATTGATTTGTCTATGATAATGAAAGATAAAGATTTCTATTACATATACTTGAATTTATTAATGTAAAATAAGTGTAGTGAACGATATCACATGATAGGAAAATTATAGCCAACTAGCTGTTCCCGTGCGACTTCATCCGCGTAAAATTATGAATATTTTATTATATTGTTTACATGTGTCCAATTATCAATTACAAATGTCCAAATTACATGACATGATGACAAACCATGGCAACCTTGCTTTCTTGATGTTGGCAGCAATTTATGGTCTCTCTCCCACATTAGGGTTTTTATCCAAAATATTTACCCCCTAAGTTTAATGGCGTGAAAACATATAGCCTAAACCGTGAAGTAAGTGTGGGGCTTTTTATAAAGAAAAAGAATTATTTAAAAATGTGCTGTAATTGCGGACATCTTAGGCAACAAAGAAGTGTGTGTTTACGCTTTATTATAATAGTATAGATAAAATAACTATTCTATAAGATTAAATTATATTGAATCGCTTTGATTTAATTGTCTATAATATTATCTACGTAATCTAATATCTGTAAACTTTTCAATTTGGATAAAAGACTTTTAAATCGGCATTTTACTGATATATTTCCAATGAAAAATATATGAGTCATTTCTTAGTTATGCAAAGCTAGTTGTCGTGTCCGCGTGGAATAAAAAAAAACTCCAATTACTAGGTTGCCTGGGTTGTCTGTAAGATATTGCTTATAACAATAAGGCTGCCCTTGCACGTATTTTGTTTTTATTATAATAGTTTAAACATCTGTAGTTATTATTAGGATTTAATTTTGTGCATAAATTTTTAAATAAATAGAGTAAATAAATACTAACCTATGTGTTTATCCAGACTATGTTCTATATGCCAAATCAGGGATACTATATTAGGTTCTTTAAGCCCTCTTGGAGTTACGTAGAAACAAATGAATACATTTAACTTTCGAATATTTTAATTTTTTTTTCATTCAATAAAATAACCTATGTATATTGATAAATTACCTTTCTAATGGTGAAAGAATTAAAATAGGACCAGTTTTGAGAGGAAAGATTTGTATTTTTGTATGTATTCGATTCACGTAAAAACTACTGAATCGATTTCAAAAATTCTTTCAATATCAGAAAGGTTATTTATCTGTGAGTAACATAGGTTATGGTTTTATTATTTTTTTAATTTCTCGCCGGCCAAGTAGCAACAGCCAGTTTTATTACAAAATACAAATCTTTGATCTATATATTTTAGTATAGGTTGATGTTTGAAAGTAAAATCTGAAGTTAAAACGACGTCAGCTTAAACTATTATAACTGTTACTTGATTTATACAAAACAAATAAATAAAAGAAACACGTTAAAATACATAAAACTCGCAAATTCGCGGTCAAACTTCGCAATAAAATCGCAAAGGCCACGACAACCAAGTTATCGGTCGATAAAAAACAAATTAGAAGATAACCCAACGTACTCTATCAATAGAACACGAAACTCTTTGTCTTTTCACTTGATTTACGAGATCTTTCAATGGCAGTTATTGTTAGAGCCAGCACACTTGACTAAATTATCGCACAACTATGGGATTGTCGATTGTTTCGCAATTCAAATTGCACAACTAAAAATCGAGTTGTGTGAAGGTGAACCTCCAAATAAACTCATAGGAATCAAAGCGGGAGTAAACAATACGATAGATTAGTCTAAGGTGAGCGCGCTGTTAACCTCTAAAAACGTGCAAATATCAGTAAAAATATTTACGGATCTACGCTTGATTTCCTCTGAATCCATACGCCTTTTAATTGTGACTTTTATAACAGAAAATATTATTTATGGCGCCAATTTTATCTCAAGATATTTTTGTTTGCTAACCGTTTGTTATCTGTGTCACAGATTTCTTAGAAATGACGCAATCGAATACAGATAACTAATGAATATGTTTTACACATTTTTTACTGGTTTACTACAAGATAAGATTTTTATCCTCCCATCTACATCCCGTGCCTGAAACGTAGATTAGAGAATGAATGTAACGATACGATATCTAAAATCTTTTACGCCTGTAAATGACATTAACAGAGAAAATGACTAACCTCAAAAAGTCTAAGGAGATACGTTAACTATTTCTAATTATAAATAGTTATTTATTTTGTAATGGGATTATACACGTAATAAAAATTTAAATATGAACTAAAGTACGGATTAAGGAAACCCCATCAATGCCAATTAGATTATTTTTATCTGTAGATTTTGCAAGCCGTGATAACTGTGGTGAGGTCTGTATGAAGTACGTTGGTGTAAATCGAAGCTAGGAATTCTATCATACTAATATTATAACTGCGAAAGTTTAGATATATGGATGGATGTTTGTTTGTTATGATTTGTAGCCAAAACGGCTTAACGGAATTGAATGAAATTTGGTACAGATGGATAGTCTGGAAGAACACATATGCTACTTACTTTTGTTTTTTTCTTATTCCACGCGGACGGAGTCGCGGGCGAAAGCTAGTAAATAAACGTAACAAAGATTAGCAATATAAATAATTATGTAGATTTATTTCAGAAACTGTAATGAAAACTTTACGAGCGAAGTTAAAATTAACTAACTATAACCATATTTATATAATTTTTACAGATATGTACAGTGCGCTTCTACTACTATTTGTTGTGACGTGTTCAGCGCAATATCTTCCCAACGGCTGCCCTGCAGACTTCAGCGTACATCGACTGCTGCCTCACGAGACCGAATGCGACAAGTTCTACCAATGCAGCAATGGACACAAAATACTCATGCAGTGCGGTCCTGGCACGTTATTTGATGAAGAACTACAGGTAATTACACTGAGACTTTTTAATAAAGTTTTAACATAAAACATACGAAATATTTAAACTTCTGAATAACTATTTATCGTTCTAGGTTTGCAATTGGCCTTCACAAGTGAACTGCAATAGAGTCACTCAAACAGAAGCAACGGAATCCAACGACGAAACAACTACAAGAGTACCAACAGATGCACCAGTTTTTACGACTGAAGGTTACACCACTGAATCTCCGCTAACTACTACTCAAGAATATGAAACGACTACACACTCAGATGGTACAGAAACAGCAAGCTCAGATAGCAATACGTTCCCACCGATAACAACTACAGATCCTACTGTGTCAACAACTGAGAGACAAACAACAGTTTCATCTGAAAACCCAACACAACAATATGATACCACTCCTCAAACAGATGCTACAAAGACAACGGATAATTCAGACAGTTCTACATTCCCTCCGGCAACGTTTACAGACCCAACTGTTGGTTCAACAGCAGCAACGCAAGATACAACAGTATCTCCAGAAACTCCAACTCAACAATATGATAGGACAACAAGATCAGATGATAATGAAACTGCATCTACACCACTGACTACTGTAAGTTCCACGACAACAGAAAGTGACACCACAATATCAGCTGAAACTTCAACTAAAGAAGATGAAACAACTCCACTACCAGATGTGAAAGAAACTACAGAGACATCCTCATTTATAACAACTACGGAACGGTCTTCTACTGCCTCTTCATCAACAACTACCACAACAATTCCAACTGAAACTACTCTAGAGTACGAGACTACTCGGCAATCAGATATTACTACAGATAGTTCAAACGGAAATACAACACCTGCAACAACAACTTCAACGGACCGTTACCCGACTGCTGGTTCAACAACTGAAGGATACCCCACGATATCTTCTGAAACCACTCAAGAGTATGACACTACGCCTCAGCCAGATAATAATGAAACTACAGATAATCCAAATGACAATACAACTCCTTCAACAACAACTTCAACTGACCGTTACCCAACCTCAGGTTCAACAACAACTGAAGTTTACACCACGATATATTCAGAGACCCCAACTCAAGAAGACGAAACTACGACATGGTCTGAAACTGAAACTACATATAGTTCAGATAATACACCTATAATAACAACCACTGGAGGAAATCCAACTGTTGACTCTTCAACGACGCAAGGCTTCACTACGACCTCCTCTGAAAACCCTACAGAAGGTTTTGAAACTACCTCATGGCCAGATGCCACAAAAACCACAGATGGTACAGGCAGCAATACATTTCCATCGACAACATCTACAGACCGATATCCTAGTGTTGGTTCTACAACAACTGAAGCCTTCAGCACAATATCTTTTGATACTCCTACGGTGGATTTCAAAACGACTACAGAAGGAGATGTCATCGAAACGACAGCAACTTCTAATACGTTTCCAACAGTAACTACAACTGAAATATTCACTGAGGAGTCTATAACAACTGGAGTTTATACTACATCTTCTGGAACTCCGACAGAAGAACATAAAACAAATCCACAAACTCCAACAACAGAAGAATCAGTTAATACTGATGGTACAACTATCAAGCCCACCACTGATGGCTTTTTCAGTACTACTTCAAGTACAGTTCAAGATGCGACAACTGCATCAAATATCCCTGATGATGATCAAACTACAGCGGACACAGAAGCTCCTATATTTAGCACAACAGAACAGGTACAGACTACAATAAGCTATCCAACAGTACCTTCGGAGTCAAACACAATACCTATTACAACAGATAGCGACGAAATCAATTCATCAACTAAAGAAGAGACTACAATATCGTCCGATGTAAGTACAGTTAATGATATAACAATAAGTGACGCAACTATGAAAACCAAAACCAACATACACTCGGATGAATACTCAACGTCCAGCATCTTTCATCTTGCCACAACACATACAGTTACAGAAAAATACAACGGCTTGCAGATATCGAACATAAGTTCATGTCTGGTTGGATTTGACCGCATAGATTACAATTATACTCATTGCAGTCGTCGTTTGAAAATTCTTTTACCACTGTCAAACAATATCTATAGTTTTAACACGAACTCAGTTAAAAATTTATACTCACATTCCCTTTCATTTATCTCAAATTCAAAATGTCTTTTTTCATTGAAAAACATTACGTTCAAGTATTGAAAGATATTCGTTTTTAGGTGACGACTAATAAAGTGGAGATTACTACAGGTAATCCGTCTGTAGAGCTTTGTCCTCCAGGGACTTTCGAAAATATTCCACATCCAGAACTATGTAATTCATTCTACATGTGTGCCGGCGGTATACCTATACAATTGTTCTGCAGTGATGGATTTGAATTTGATCCGGTTACAAGAGTGAGTAAAAGTGAATCTAATTTATTACAATTTATTTGTGTTATTAAAATAAAAAAGAATCTAAACGTATGTTTCAGCAATGTGTAGTCATATCAGACACTGGCTGTACTGCACTACAAGGTAAATAAAACTCATTTAAACTTACAGACTAATTCATTCTGTAACTAATATTATTGTAATAATTTCAAATTTCAGGCACATCTACAACAACCGAAGCTATTTCGACAACCATAAAAAACGATGGGACAACCAGAGATTTCGAAACTACCGTTGATATTGAAACGACAACAAAGTCTGATGACACGACTGAATATCAACCGTCAACTACAACAGAAAAATCAACGACAACTGTTAAAGAAATAACCACAGAGACAACTCGGGCATCAGAACAAACAACAACTGAATTTTCTACATCAGATTACACGACTCCAAATGATAAACTAACAACAACATTTAACCCTACGCAAACAGAAGCAATAAGTACGATAGACTTCCAAACTTCATCTACGGATCACGAAACAACCACAGAAAATGATTCAACAACAAGGCAAAGTGACTCAACAACAATAAACCATGAAACTACAATTGATATTGAAACGACAACAAAATCTGACGATACGACTGAATATCAACCGTCAACTACAACAGAAAAATCAACGACAACTGTTAAAGAAATCACCACAGAGACAACTCGGACATCAGAACAAACAACAACTGAATTTTCTGCATCAGATTACACGACTCCAAATGATAAACTAACAACAACTTTTAACCCTACGCAAACAGAAGAATTAAGTACTATAGAGTTCCAAACTTCAACTAAGGATCCCGAAACAACCACAGAAAATGTTTCAACAACAACAAGGCCAAGTGACTCAACAACAATAAACCATGAAACAACAATTGAGACAACCGATGATTTGACAACTGTATTTTATGATACTACAACAGGATTTGTAGATGTAACAACAGATGATCCTAATAAATCTACAATGCTACCAGGTATATGCCCTGAAGGTTTCTTTGGGAATATACCACATCCAGAACTATGCAATTCTTTCTACATGTGTACCGGTGGTATTGCTATAAAATTGTTTTGCAGCAATGGTTTTGAATTCGATGAAAAACTTGCAGTAAGTATATTAAATGTCTTAAATATAAACATTATTTAAAAATAAATTAACATTAAATTATAATTAAAACTTTGTTTTCAGCATTGTGTCCCAATAAGTGAAAATGGATGTACTGCTTCAAAGGGTAAGAAAGATAAAAATAGATCTTGATTTTATTTGTATTTAGGCAACATTTTTAACAAACAAAACGGGCGAATAAGATACTTTAAAATGCAGAAACACTAATCATAAAGGAATCATATTTTAGTTAAAAAGGAATATTTAATTTTAAACGAGATGAACTTTACAGGACAACAGACAACAGAGTCTTACACTGAAGATTATACGAACACGTTGGCTACTAGTGAAAATACCCTTTCAACTAATTATGATATCTTAACTACTCCCTCGGATATCGACACAGAGATATCTTCTTCTACTGTTTCTAATGAACCAACCAGTACAATCGATGAGGAAAGTACAACTGACGCACTCCAAACGTCCACGGAAGAAACAACAAAATTGACAGAACTTCCAATAGTATCAACTTCAGAGAATACATTTGAAACAACAGGCACATTCAAAACAACCGAAGACTTCACTCAATATACGGAATCAGAAACAACTTTAAAAATAGATTCAACAATACAAGATACTACATCTATAAAATCTACAGTTTCCGAAGAATCAATATCCACTCAGAATACTGATAAACCATCAACTGATTTCAATGATTTCACGACTACGAAAATCCCCGTAGAATTCAGTACTACTCCAGATTTATTAGATGTAACAACAATACCAGCAAGTGTAAAAACAGATGGTACTTCAACAATTTCGTCAACAGATATTACAAACGACTACGAAGTAACAACTGAACAAAATGCGCTGTGTCCCGACGGATTTTTTGGCAATATTCCACATCCTGTGTATTGCAACTCCTTCTATTTATGTACAGGAGGTATCGCTGTGCAACTATTTTGTCGTGATGGGTATGAATACAACGAAATCATAGCTGTAAGTATTTGATTATGTTTAGACTATCCATGTTCCTGTTGAAAATCTAATTGATCAAAAACTATTTCTTCTATTTCAGAACTGTGTTCCAATTTCTGAAAATGGATGCACCGCTTCAAGAGGTTTGTAGTAAATAATTTAAACTGCACTTATTTGTAAGGAAGTAATTCGTTACAAATAAGTTTAATCGCAATCTTTAATTTTAGGTACTACTACAAGTTTACATACGGAATCTACCCAGTATACAATATCTGATGAAACGAAAGTAACAGAAAATGCACAATCTACAGAGACAACATATGAAACTACGAGTGAAATCATTGAAACAACATCAAACGAACAAGCTACAAAATCTACAAGCATTGTTACTGATTCGGAACAAAATGAATTAACAACGAAAGATTTTGGAACAACTATGAGTGAAGTAAAAGATACCACAGAATATAAAAAAACAACATCAAATGAAATAACATCAACAGTAGAGTCGATTACTGAAACTACTCTGTTAACGAACGAACCGCAAACTACTTCTGAAAGATATACAACGGAAACAGAAATTACAACGATCCAAGATACACAAACAACCATAGATAATGGTCAATCTACAACAATGAATTCGGAAGTAACAACTGAATCTGCAACAACTAAACCGACCACTGTAGATACAAGCACACTATCAACTTCGGAGTTTGTAACAGATATAACTCAGTCGTCAGTTACGGATCCGACAGAGGTCACAACAGTCACCACATCTACAACACAAACGCCTAGTGTTTGTCCACCGGGTGTATTTGGAAATGTGCCACATCCTACTCTATGTGATTCATTTTATTTATGTACAGGCGGTATCCCTATACAATTATTCTGTAGTAGTGGATTTGAATTTAGTCCTGAAATAGGTGTAAGTATGAGCCAGTTAATGTTTTTTTTTAATACGGGTCAATACTAAACCTTAAGTAATCTTTGATTAAGAGAAGGTCTTACTAATTCTTAACCTTAATTTAATAAATCATATAATGTGTCTCTTATTTTTCAGTCATGCGTACCTATTTCTGAAAACGGGTGCACAGCATTAAGAGGTAAAACCTTTTAATTTTTCGTAATTTCAGTTTGACCTTACATCATATAGAAATTAATTAAATCACTATATTACAGGAACAACAACGACTGAAATTAATACGGAATATGAATCTACTACATCGAATTCAAACCAAGATGTAACACAAACATCTCAGTATAGTGAGACAACTTCAGAAAGAGATGAAACTGAATACACATCTAAGACAACTGACATCACTAACGGTGATAAAGATAGTACCAATCCGGTTACAAAAGACCCGCACACTACTTACAAAACAACTGAGGATCAAACTACTACTGACAAATATTTAACAACGCAAGATAATTCTGATAGTGACTCGACTGATGACTTAACAAGTTCGTCTACATCTTCTACTACTGATGGAATGACAACTGAAAGTGACTCAGGACAGACTGAGCAACACATATCTACTGTAGGATTAGACACAACAGTGAGCCCTGATTCAACAACATCTGAAACTGTCACTGAGTCAACTGGTTCATCAATTTCACCTACTGAACTGTCTACTTCTGATTCAACACTTGACAGTTCATCGTCAAGTACAGTTAATGCACAAACGACAACAAATAATGATGTAACTCCTAATGAAGAAACGACATTCCAAACAGAAACTACAAGTGAAAACGAATCAACAATTAACCCCACACAGACTATAGATTATAGTGACACGTCAACAGAAACTACAAAATACGCGGAAGTAACAACAGAAAAGACTACAATTGAAGAAGAGGAAACGACAACAATCTTGTCACAAACTACAGATGAAAGTCAAATGTCTAGTGAAACAGGACTGTACACAACTCCAACAACTAGTATCAGCTCTACAACAAACCAGAATACTGAAACTACAACAGCGGCTCCAATCTGTCCACCGGGAGTGTTCGGGAATGTTCCCCATCCTACTATATGCGATTCATTTTACTTCTGCACAGGAGGAGTCCCAATACAACTATTCTGTAGTTATGGATTCGAATTCGATCCTGACTTTGGGGTGAGTATTTTATACTAATACGTATGAGAAGTAACATAGATTACTACTCCCATTGCCTTCAATCCCACTAATACATATTATTTTCATTGTTAAGTTCACTTTATTCAATCTTTTTTTTAATTTCAGCACTGTGTTCCGGTTTCTGATAGTGGGTGTACAGCAATGAGAGGTACTGTTGATGTCTTTTAATTTTCTGTCCTTAATAATGCCGACAAAAGCTACAACTAAAGTTGTTAACTGTGCAAAATTGAATTCACAGGTACGACAACTAATCTTAATGACCACTCGACAACTATCAATGACGAATATACTCAATCCACAACGCAAATTAGTTCAAGTAGCCCTGAAGGGATTGCAAGTACTACATCCAATACTGAATTTACGAGTGAAGCGTATGAATCGAAACCTACTACTGAACAAAGCATTACTTCAGAAGGAGGTACATCAGTGAATACTGATTCGACAGTATCTAATATTGTGACAACTGATATCTTGCAATCAAGTACAATCAGTTTACAAACAACAAATAACGAAGTAACTCCTAATGAAGAAACGACATTCCAAACAGAGACTACAAGAGATGATTCAACAACAAAACTCTCTACTACAGACGACTCTGAGTCATCAGCAGAGACTACCAAACACTCAGAAGCACCAACAGAAGAGACTACAATTGTAGAAGAGGAATCAACGACAAACTTCTCACAATCTACAGATGATAATCAAATATCTAGTGAAACAGGACTGTATACGACTCCAACAACTAGTATCGGCTCTACAACAGTCCAGAATACTGAAACTACAACAGCAGCTCCAATCTGTCCACCGGGAGTGTTCGGAAACGTTCCTCATCCAACTCTCTGTAATTCATTTTACTTCTGCACAGGAGGAGTTCCTATACAACTATTCTGTAGCAATGGATTTGAATTCGACCCTGAGTTGGGAGTGAGTTTTCATTTCGTATTTTATACCTAAGACTAGCTTTAGCCCGCGACTTTATTAACGCGAAATTTTAATATATAGTCTGTTACTCAGCGATAATGTAGCTTTCTAATGGTAAAACAAATTTGAAATCGACTCAGTAGTTGTTGAGTTTTTCCAATACATACGAAAATACAAATCTTTTCTCTTTAAACTACTAGTATAGATTTTAAACATAGTTTTGTAACTCAATTATTTTTTTTTTACATTACAGCACTGCGTTCCACTTTCCGATAGTGGGTGCACAGCAATGAGAGGTATAGTTGATATCTTTTGATATTTTATTTTAAAAGAAACTTTTCGTTTGTACACTGTAAATGTTGTTTCATTCAATGAAATTTTATTTACAGGTTATTTTATTTTATTTTATTATTCACAGGTACGACAACTAATTTTAATGACCAATCAACAACTATTAATGTAGATTCTACTCAATCTACAACAGAAACTAGTTCTGTCAACACTGAGGGAATTTTGAGTACATCAAGCATTGAATTAACAACTAAAAATGAAGAACCAACTACTGAACAAAGTAGTAATTCAGAAGACGCAGTAATTACAGATTCGACAATATCTGATTTTGTTACCGAACCATCTTTAACAACTTCTACAGCGTCTTCCAATTCTGATTTTGTGACAACTGACAGCTTGCAAACCAGTACGATCATTTTGGAAACAACAAATACCGATTTAACTCCAAATGAAGAGACGACAATTCAAACACAGACTACAACTGAAGATAAGTCGACAAACCAGATTACAGACGACAGTGGAATATCAACAGAGGCAACAAAACCCACAGATACATCTACAACATTTACAACAGATGGAATATATTCTACAACAATTGCTGGAAGTACGGAAACTACATCGGAGGCTCCAATCTGTCCTCCAGGAGTGTTCGGAAATATACCGCATCCAACACTTTGTGATTCATTTTATTTATGCGCGGGCGGAGTTCCGATTCAACTGTTTTGTAGCTATGGATTCGAATTCGACGCTGCCGTTGGTGTGAGTATTTTAAACTGAAGTTTCCAAGTCTTTGTTGATTTTTGAAAATGTATACTCTCATCACAGTTTTTAATCTGTTATACTCAAATGATTTTAATATGAATCCATAATTAATGATTTACTTTTTATATTTCAGCACTGTGTACCAGTTACTGACAGTGGTTGTACAGCAAAGAGAGGTAATTGTTATTTTTATAGTGATAAAAAAAGTGTGATTTGTAATGATTAAATGGTTTTTAATTATTATCAATATCGTTTTTTAGCTACAACAACTAGTATTAATGGCGAGTCGACAACCGTAAACGAAGATTACACAAAGTTTACAACTGTAAATGACGATGCGATGTCTACTACATTAAGTTCTGGAATAACAACCGTATCAGATGACTTAGCACAAACTACTCAGCAAAATGTTACCACTTCAGATAGCGAGACATCAGTAGACTCTGATTACACAATATCTGAAGTAACTACTATTAAAGACACAACGGATGTATTATCATCAACTACACTACAACCAACTACATCTAGTGAAGTCTCAACAACAGATAATTCACTCAATACAGAAGACAAAACAACATCTACAGATAACACACAATCTGTAGATACAACTACAGATGTATCTTCAACTTCTGATGATAAATTCAGCTCTGAAGGGCAAACTATTACCTCCGAAGAGGTTCGAACTACAATAAGGATAACTGAAACAACACCGGCTCCAATCTGTCCACCGGGAGTGTTCGGGAATATTCCGCATCCGACTCTCTGTCATTCATTTTACTTCTGCACAGGAGGAATTCCTATACAACTATTTTGTAGTAACGGATTTGAATTCGATCCTACCTTTGCTGTAAGTATTTAAAATATCGTGCCTTTTGATATTGGTGTTTATGTTTTCTGATCATGACTACTCCAATTTTTTAATTTCATTTTTGAATTCTTATTTATTTAATATTCGATCTTATTTCAGCAATGCGTAGTAATTTCTGATAGTGGCTGCACAGCAATGAGAGGTAATAATTTAATTGATAAATAGTTACAAGTTTACTATAAAAAGAAATCATAATTTTAATGTAATACAATTTATTTTTCAGGTTTGACAACGACTAGTTCTTATGACGAATTGACGACCATAGATAATGAATATAGTGTATCTACTATTGAAACTAGTGCGACAAACGCAGAGGCAACACCGAGCCCCGGTTTCACCTCCGAAGTCGATATCGATCAAACGACTAAGCAAGGTTCGGAAGGAGAAACAATAGTTAATGATGCCACAACATCAGAAATTGTCACGAAACCATCAGGTTCACTAACATCTACGGCATCCTCGTCTAATGATGTAACGATAGATGATAGTTTACAATCAACTACAGTTATTTTACAAACGACTACAAATAACGATGTATCTGAAGATACAACGTTACAACCAAAGACTACAAACAGAGAAGAAGAATCAACAACAATTGTCACACAAACACGGGATGATGGTGGATCAACAGAAACTCCTAATGGTATATCTACAACTGAAACTTCACAATCAACTACAGTAAATTTACAAACAACAACAAATGACGAAATAACTCCTAATGAAACTACATTCCAAACAGAGACGAGTAGAGAAGTATCAACAACGATCGACACACAGACAACAGGCGATGGTGATACATCAGCAGAGACTGATGATAGCTCACAACCGAGTACAGTTAATTTACCAACGACAACAATCAGTGATACCCCTAATGAAACAACATTCCAAACAAAGACTACAGGTGAAGTTAATGAGTTAACGACTAACTCCCAGACTACCGACGATAGTGAAACGTCAGAGACAACAAAATTTACAGATACAGATGTGCACACAACTCCTACAAACGAAATCAGCTCTACGGTTAGGAGTACTGAAACCACATCTGAGGCTCCAATCTGTCCTCCGGGAGTGTTTGGGAATATTCCCCATCCAACTCTATGTGATTCATTTTACTTATGCGCGGGCGGAGTTCCAATACAACTGTTCTGTAGTAATGGATTCGAATTTGATCCTGGATTTGCAGTAAGTATGAAACAAAGAGATATGCATAATATGGAAGGCTAGCTAACAACGTCTTGCTACTACAGTACTACAACGAATATTTAAAACATTTTCGAGTGCACATGGAGTTACACAAAAATTGTGTGTGTTGTTTTAACAGAATTATTTTTTTATTCCAGCATTGCGTTCCGATTTCCGACAGTGGCTGCACAGCATCAAGAGGTAATTTTTACAACGCATTTACTTTATCTAGATTTTTTTGAGATATAAAGTGTTAACATTTGCAAACTTTTCTGTAACGCAATATTATATTTTCCAGGTTCCACCACAACTTTTAAGTACGATTCGACTACTGCCGAAGAAGTGTCTAAACCCGATGCGAGTTCAACAACTGATATAGTTGATTTAGATCAAACTACCAAGCTACTAAATACAAATCCAGAAGACATCATCATACAAACAGATACTACGAATTTTGAGACATCAGCGACTTCTGATTATACGAATTCAGAAAGTAGTTCAGAAGACATCCAAAAATCAACTGAGAATCTACTAACCACGATCGTTAATTCTCAAACTGATGCAATAGACACAACAAAACAATCTGAATCAACAAATTCCCCAACGACACCTCACAATGTTGGAACAGTTGATATCACAGCTATTGAAGAAACAACATTAAACGTCTTGTCTACATCTCAAGCTGTGACTACTAGTGAAGACGAATCTACAACAGACAATTCTCCGACCTCAGAAAATAGTCAAACGGATTCTCAAGTCACAGACACGTCTTCAGAAACTGAATATTCTACTAATGGATTAACCTCAGAAGATCTAAACGCTACTGAAGAGGTTCATACAACAGTAGGTGTAGAAACAACAACACAAGCTGTTATCTGTCCACCAGGTGCGTTCGGGAATGTTCCGCACCCAACTCAATGCGATGCTTTCTACTTGTGTACAGGCGGTCTTCCTATAAAATTGTATTGTAGTAACGGATTCGAATTTGATGTTGCTGTCGGTGTAAGTTTATGCAAATTATCATTTATGCATTTTGTATTAAATTCTGGTGTTTTTTACTGATTTTGTAATTTATTACAGAATTGTGTCCCGATATCTGATAGCGGATGCACTGCAATGAAAGGTAATTGAAAATTAATAATTTAATTGAAAATTGTTGTCAATAAAACAACAACAATTAATATTTCATCAAATTTATTGAAAATGTACACAAAATAAACAACTATTGCTTCCTTTCAGGGTCATCTACAACCAGTTCAACGAGTGTTTCTTCTGAGCAAGATTTAACAACAAACCGAGAAGAAACATCTACTAATAAAGACGTTACAACAGAAGCAACAGAATTATTTACAGAAACAACATTAACTAGTTTTATAATTTCCGAACAAACTACAATTAAAATTCCAACGACTGAAGATGATAAAACCACAAAAGAAATAAATCCTTCAACAAAAGAAGTAACGGAATTAGATACTACAATAGTTAATACAACCCCTGCTAATTCTGAAGAAAATTCTTCAGAACAAACGTCCAGTGATTCAGAAATCGATAGAATAACAACTGAAAATAGCGAAACAACACAAAGGATAGATGCAACAACTGTTGCGCCAATTTGTCCTCCGGGTAAATTTGGAAATGCACCACATCCAGAACAATGTGATTCATTCTACATGTGCGCTGGCGGGATTGCAATCCAACTCTACTGTAGTACAGGATTTGAATTCGACAAACATGTGGAGGTAAGAGTACCTAATAACCATGTTAGTGGTGAGGGCGATATTTCACTAATGTGGGCGATACTACATGACTATGAGTGTAAACCCTAGAATACTTCAGCTAATCTAGTACCGACCCGGCCACCTCTTTAATTAATATGACTCTGTTTTATAATTTTTTTAGCACAGTTTGGTTGTGATTAATTCTGAATTGTTTTTTGCAGCAATGTGTGCCAATATCAGATAACGGTTGTACGGCTCTAAAAGGTTTGTTTAATTATTGATTACCGCTATCGCTTTATATATCTTCATTAGTCTTTTATTAGGTAATTTTATGAAATCATTCTAATATTTTCATCAGCATAATTATAATTTTGCAGCGGGAACTACACCCGTGTCCGAGGATAAATCAGAAAAATATCCAACAACTATACAAGATACAACATCTAGCGGATTCGAAACAACAAAACCAAAACTAACTACGAAAGACATAGATGAAAGTCTAGATATATCTACAACTGGGAGTACTGTAAAATTAGAAACGACGACAGAAGCGGTGATATGTCCGCCAGGTTACTTCGGCAATGTACCGCATCCGACGCAATGCAATTCATTCTACATGTGTACTGGAGGTTTCCCATTACATCTGTATTGTAGTGCCGGCTTCGAATTTGATCCCAATGCTTCAGTAAGTACCTTTGAGATTTTAAAATCATCTTTTGATCCAAATGACTAAGGATAATCTTATCATTAATTCCATTTGGGACCACTCGTAACGCCATTTTGACAGCGCCGAATTAAAAAAGTAGCCTATAATATGCTTGTCTAAGTCAGCTATCCTTCTGTGAAAATCCCTTCGAAATCGGCAGACGAAACATTTTTGAATGCGATTTTCGTTATTTTCAACGCAATTCATCATCTTTCTTTTGATATTAGAAACAGACACTCCAATTTTTTTATGTATAGATAGATAGATTGAAGTTAATGTATTTTTTAAATTCACTGTCTTTTTTCAGCAATGTGTCGCAATATCTGACTACGGATGTACAGCAAAGGGACAATAAAATACATATGTATGAAAAGTGGACAACAGTATTAAAACAAAGGCTGTGTTTTATTTATTTTATTATATCCGCCTGCTTTATATTTTATACAATGAGGCTAAAAGCCTTCTGGACACGGGAAAAGTGACGAAATGCAAGTAGAATTGTAAACGCATTGGGAGTCGCTAAACAATAAAGACCGTACCGAATATAAGTTTGTTTTATTTTTAGTGTTATAAGAAACGATACAATCCATCAGTTTATGTAAAGAATAATGGATAAGGTTAAAATCTTACTAATATTATAAATGCGAAAGTTTAGATGGATGGATGGATGTTTGTTATAGTTGGTAAACGGTATAGATGTAGAGGAGAGTCTAGAAGAACACATAGTACATAGACTACTCATTCTGTTGTTATTGATTACACGCGGTCAGAGTCAACGGCGAAAATTAGTGGTAAAGTTAGTAATTGTATATCTATTGCAAGAAAACTATAAAGTTGCATTCAAATAATATTCAATGGAATTTAATACAAAAAAATCGATCTAAATATTTAAAAGTAACTTTTCAATGAATTGAAAAATGCAATAATATCGTTGCACAAAATCCATGACAATTAATGGATCACATCCTCTTTAATTATATTTACTATTAAATATTTCCAACGTCAATTTGCGACGGTAATTGTATTAATAAATCTAATTTTATTCGAGCCGATAATGGGTTCCTAACATCAGGTCTCGCCGGTTCAACGTAGACTTGAGAGACTTTCAATTCTTCTTCAGGAGTTTCTAATTCTTCTTTAATAGTTGAGATGTCTTTTACTTTCTTTATTTCTTTATCCATATCTTTCTTTACATCAATATAATTCATTCGTCTTGTATCTTTACCTACTAAATCATTTACAATTTTAGAATCTATGTCTGAGACATAGCTTTGATTGTTCTTCAAATCATCAAAAACCACTTTTACAGGTTCATCTTCGCTTAAATTATCGTTTGGTATATTTAGTTCTTCTTGAGATACACTTTCTACGTTTTGGTTATTTGTTACAGTAATTTTTACATCAGGGTTAAAAGTAACGGATTCTTGAGTAACTTCGCTGTCTGTGTTATTAAATATTTCATCCGGTACTATGAAAACATCGGTATCTTTGTCAGTATTGATATCAATTGCACTTGATTCAATGTTGTTAATCGGTTCACTCTCTTCATTTACTATTGATCTTTCGTCATCAGGTATTGCATAAGTAACATCAGTTTGGTAGTAATTGAATGAGGGTGTACGAATTAAATAAGCCGTTTCTGAACTATCCATTTCATTAACAATGTCTGATACAGGCGTTGAAGTTACAACGCTATTTATTAATGGAGTCTGTGAATCAAAAGTTTCCTCGTCGTAAGTGTTTTTTCTTTTTCTATTCTTGATCATTTTATTCGGTATAAATTCGTAATCTAGAAGACCATCATCTGGTTTATTTGAAACAGTTTCAAAGCTTTCCGCATCATCTTCATCTCCTTCATCATCGCTTTCTGGACGCGAGTTATTAATTTTAGCTTGACGTTTCCCTTTATTCTTTCTCTTATGTTTGCTTTCGTTTTCATCGTTATATTGATTCGATAAACGTTTACTATTCAAGTATGATTCAAATGTAGATTCGAAAGAATCATAGTCTGGTTCCATATCTTTATTGTTTAAAGATATTTTTCTATGAGAATCATGTTCAGTACGAGCTTTTGGACTCTTAAAATTGTCTTCGTGATCAATACGAGATTTAGAATGTTTCGATTTATCAGATTTTCCAGATCTTCTTGTATTTTTGTCATCGTCAAATAGAGAAAATATATGTGAAAAGAACATCCTCCTTTGTTGATCTTCGTTATAATTTGATTGAGAGTTTCTCGACCGTATATCGTTTAATATATTTTTCGGATCATTATTTTTGTTTTCCTTCATGTTTTTACGTCTATAACTATCGTAGAGGTCATCGTAAAAGTCAAATGAGCGTACAATTCTAGAGAATGGTGTAGGCGGTGGTTTTTCTGTTCTGTCAGTTGATAAGACACTTTCTTCTGTAATAACTTCTTTAAGAATATCAGTTGTGTCTTCATTATATCTTCTACCTTTGTTGTTTATATCACCTATCATACCATATGACTTGGTTGTGATCTGAAAGTAAATATTACACCATACTTCATACTAATGTTATAAATGTGAAAGTTTATATAGATGGATGTTTGTTAGAGTTTGTAGCCTAAACGGCTGAACGGATTTTGATGAAATTTGGCATAGATGTGGAGGATAGTCTGGCAGAACATATAGGCTACTAGCATTTGTTTTTTTAATTCCACGCGAACGGAGTTGCGAGCGGAAGCTATTAGTCGATAACTGTTCAATATCGTTTATATTTTGTTTCCATTTGTATGAGCTTACAATATTTTTCATTTCAAGATTGTACAGTGCTAAAGATCTAATGCTAGAGATCTATTTTTTAATTACACTTTATACTTACTTCTGCATTATCACTCGGTTCTTCACTAAATACTTCATCCGATGAGAAGACAGATGATATCAGTAGAAAAGGTAGGATCACTGAAAAAAAAGAAATGTCAGAACAGATAAAGGAGGCACAATAAAAGCTTTAAAACGTGAAATATTTGATTTGTTTGTCGGGTAAATACAACAGTTACTGCTGTTCTCTGTGGCAGACACTTAATATGATCAAAGACATTTGTAACTAGTCTAGTCTTTATAAGTTAAATATTATTAACTAGCTGTTCCCCTGCGACTTCATCCGCATGAAATTATGAAAATTTTATTTTATCGTTTTATATTTGTCAAATTATCAATTACAAATGTCAAAATGACATGACATAATAATAACCTTGCTTCCTTGATGTTGGCAGCAACTTATGGTCTCTTTCCCACATTAGGATTTTTATCGAAAATATGTACCCCCTAAGTTTAATGGCGTTAAAATATATAACCTAAAGCGTGACGCAAGTAGGGCTTTTTATTAAAAAAAGAATTATTCAAAAATATGGTGTGATTGCTGACATCTTAGGCAACAAAGAAGTGTGTGTTTACGCTTTATTATGATAGTACAGATTACATACCAGGTAAGAACTGCATTGCTCGAAGTTTCTCACACAACAAGGCCTGCAGCAAACTGTCACCTCTAATTATTAGAGCAAATGTAATCGCGTTTGTTTAACACAATCACCATCGTTAATTCATATTTATAACAATGCAATCATGAACACAAAACAATTTAACGGTTATTATTTCTACGGTAAGACTAAATCTTCGTACAACGATGGAATTTTTTTTATAACTAAGGTGAAAGGTATGTTTCTTTAGAAAAGAAATAAAAATATGTCCTGAAAATAAAGTATTTGGAAAAGTCTGATTTGTCCTAATTTCTATCCTTTTGGGTACTGTGAAGCGTTTGAATAGGGATGAATCGCATGTTAGGAGACCGTTAGTTATGAATGTGGTACATCGGTACAGGTAGATCTAGATGATGGATGGATTGCGTAAAAAGCTGTGATGACTAAGATGATGTATAATAGAGTTATGTGGAGAACAAAAACCTGTTGCGCCACTACGAGAGTAGGATAAGGAACAGAGCAGGGATGGTGAACCAATAACGCGCGCACAGTTTTTTGGGCTCGTTGGTGATCTCAAACTTCATAATGTATTACAATAAAGTGTAAAGCGGGTATTATGGAGTACGGAATGGAAGTCATCCCTGCGCTACGATTCCCAATAATCAGTCGAAATTATCTGATAGCGTCATAACGTCATATGTCTCTTAACTGACATGCTGATAAGTAAAGGTTCCCAATCCCTGGCATCTGTATGCCTTATTCTGTAATAGGGTAAGGTGTAGTGTGATATTAAGGTATTGGGCATTTGTCTATTTAGCATATAATACATTGATTTAAAATTAATTAATAGATCATTGAAAAATGTTATCTAAACTTACTTAATATTATAAAGAGGAAAGATTTGTATTTTTGTATGTATTGAAATAACTCAAAAACTAATGGGCCGATTTTAAAAATGTTTTCACCATCAGAAAGGTAAATTATCTGTGAGTAACATAGGCTATATTTTATTATTACTATTGTTTAGGAACTATTAATAAACAGCGTGTTTCTGGTATAAGATAAAATTGTAACATACTGTATTTCCACAGTTATGTAATAAAAGAAAAATCCATGACGTCAGACTTACGTTCATAGCATCAAGTCCTTGCGTCACGTCATAACTGATTATTTAAAACATTGTTGTTAATGTGTAACTAAATATAACGTGGAAACTTAACCAAGTACGTAAATTACCTCTGTGATTTGAATTCTACGTATGAAGAAGAATACGAATTGAATAAAACAATTAAAATGCTATCAAATAACGTTTATTTTTACCAAAAAAATCCACAGACACAATGAGGACGTGACGTCAAAAGTATCGTGTCATGTTACAGCAATTGGTTAGTGTTACTACCAAGGGATACTAGAGATTCGAGTTCAAAATAATACTTATTGAACCCAAAGTCAAATATTTTCATGTAGTTTTAGACTGCTGTAACCTCACTAAGGATTTACCGTTCCTTCACTTATAAGCATGATTTCCCTTTTTTATTTATGGAGTTTTACGGCTATTGCTAAAGTAACTGGTTGTTGTATAATATTGAGTCCCTTTAATAATAGATAACTGAATGGGTTTGATTACTTTAGGTAGATATAAAGGAACTCAAAGATCAAAATTATATTCCCTTCATCGCCGAAGCCGTTAATGTTCATTTGTCTATTTTATTTTTTAAAGATAACTTATAATAAAAGGCATTAAACACATTTCGTAAAATTTATTTACAAATCGTCGGTCATATTCAAAAAGACGACTAAATTGGCCAACATTGTTCATATTATCTATGAAAATATGTCCATATGTAGAAGTTAATTGTTCGTGTTTGTATGTTTACAAGCACAGTCCTCTGGTTGGGTGCATATCTGTAAATAAAACAAAATACGATTAATAAAAACAGAAAATGTTTCCCAAAATTGAATGGATTGTTCGATCAATCGAATGTTCGCGTTTATTTAGAACGTAGAACGTCAGAGTAGCTTTGTACCTTTAGTTTTTAATCCTAATTAAACTGTTACTTATGTTTGCTTTAAAGTAAAATTATTTTAAGACTAACAGCTTTACAAATAAACGCGATATAAAATTAAAACTGGGAATAACCTGAGTATAAGCAAATACTAGTACAAATTAGTCTTATACTCAGTTTATTCCCAATTTTAACTTCATACCGCGTTTATTTGTAAGGCTGTAAAAGAATTTAATCGTATGTAAATATAAAATACTTACGTGTTTTATGGGATCGAATTCATAATTATATGGACACCAGAATAGATATTTTGTACCATAAACGCAGTAATAAAATGTTCTTGTGTTTTCTGGATTGGCTATTGTGTAATATCTGTATGGATGACAAGGTTGGAAGGTTGTTGTTGGTGGAGCTATAGTTGTTGTTTGTGGGGGGAGAGTTGAGACTTTGCTAGTAGAAATAGGAGGGAGAGGATACGCTGTTGTTTCTGATGTTAAGATAGTTATTGGTGGTAAAGGAGTACCTCCTGGGGTGGGTTCAGTTGTTGGTGGTGTAAAATCTGTTGGTTCTTGTGTTGTGATTGGTGCAAAAGTAGATGTGATTGGTGGTATAGAGCTTATATCAGAAGTCGTTATAAATTCTGTCTCAGTGTATGTTGTGTCAGTATTTGAAGTTACGGTAATGTTACTCATTTCGGTAGATGTTTCAGTGTTGATTGATTCTGAAGTAAATGTGAATGGATAAGTAGTTGTTAGGTTGCTCGAGTCAGATACTGGCGTCGATTCAGTAGGTATTATTGTAGATATTGAGCTTCCTGAAGTGAATTCTGTAGGAATTATCGTTGAAGAGGTAATATAAGACGTGACTGTTGAAGCAGAACTTGGTTTTAATGATGTAGGATAAGTTGTAGAGGTTATAACGTCAGTTTCTGATGTCATAGTTGTAGTTTCGTATACATTGCTTGTAGAATACGTAGAATATACCGAACTATCGGGAAATGTTTCACTGCTAGATGTGTCGTCTGATATCGTGGTGTGGTACGAGTTTGATGTGGGAATCGTTGGATAATTAGATTGCGTAGTTTCAGGGCTACTAAACGTACTCGAAGGGATGGTGGGATAAGATGTTGTTTCTGAATAAATAGGTTCAGTTGAACTCGATGTTATTGTTGTTGGAGATGAATTAGACGAAGTACTTGGATAAGTTGTTGATTCCGAGACAGTTACGTTACTCGTTGTTTCGGTTGATTGAGAATAAGGAGAAGTTTCCCATGTACTTGACGAAGAGCTTGTTTCATCGCTGTATGTTACAGAGGTTCTTGTTGAAGGTAAGATGGTCATTGTAGAACTAGGTATGGCAGTACTTATGTCATTGCCAGTATTTGCTGTAACAGATGTGAAAGGTGGGAGAGTGTCCCAAGGATTAGTGATGGAAGAACTTGGCTTTACGGTAGGTGTTGCTGTGGAGCTGGAGAAACTACTAGGGTACCAGGAAGTACTAGAATAAGATTCAGAAGTATTTTCGGATCCGGTACTTGTTACAATATCAGAAGTCGAAATCGGTGTTAAAGTAAAATCTGTTGATTCAGATGTTACAAGAGATTCAGTACTAGTTACAATATTTGAAGATGTAGAAATTGGTGACAAAGACGACGACACGGATGTTTCATGAGATTCAGAACTTGTTATAATATCAGAAGATGTTGAAATCGGGTTTAAAGTGAAAATTGTTGGTTCAGAAGTTACAACAGATTCAGTACTTGCTACGATATCGGATGACGTAGAAATTGGCAGTAAAGTAAAATCAGTCGATTCTGATGTTAGAATATTAGAAGATGTAGAAATTGGTGACAAAGATGACGATTCAGATGTCTCATGAGATTCAGTGCTTGTTACAATATCAGAAGAAGTAGAAATTGGTGGCAAAGTATACGCAGTCGATTCAGATGTTACAATATTAGAAGATGTAGAAATTGGTGACAAAGATGAGGATTCAGATGTCTCATGAGATTCAGTGCTTGTTACAATATCGGATGATGTAGAAATAGGCGGTAAAGTAAAATCTGTAGCTTCTGATGTTGCAATATTTGATGATGTAGAAATTGGCGGTAATGAACTTGATTCAGATGTCTGATAAGATTCAGAGCTTGTTACAATATCAGAAGAAGTAGAAATTGGTGGCAAAGTATACGCAGTCGATTCAGATGTTACAATATTAGAAGATGTAGAAATTGGTGACAAAGATGACGATTCAGATGTCTCATGAGACTCAGTGCTTGTTACAATATCGGATGATGTAGAAATAGGCGGTAAAGTAAAATCTGTAGGTTCTGATGTTACAATATTTGGTGATGTAGAAATTGGTGACAAAGATGACGATTCGGACGTCTCATGAGATTCAGAACTGGTTACAATATCAGAAGAAGTAGAAATTGGTGGCAAAGTAAATGCAGTTGATTCTGATGTTACGATATTAGAAGATGTAGGAATTGGTGACAAAGATGACGATTCAGATGTCTCATGAGATCCAGAACTCGTCACAATATCAGAAGATGTTGAAATCGGGTTTAAAGTGAAATCTGTTGGTTCAGACGTTAAAACAGATTCAGTACTTGTTACAATATCGGATGGCGTAGAAATAGGCGGTAAAGTAAAATCAGTAGATTCTGATGTTGCAATGTTTGATGATGTAGAAATTGGCGGCAGTGAACTTGATTCAGATGTCTCATGAGATTCAGAACTTGTTACAATATCAGAAGAAGTAGAAATTGGTGGCAAAGTATACGCAGTCGATTCAGATGTTACAATATTAGAAGATGTAGAAATTGGTGACAAAGATGACAATTCAGATGTCTCATGAGATTCAGTGCTTGTTACAATATAGGATGATGTAGAAATAGGCGGTAAAGTAAAATCTGTAGGTTCTGATGTTACAATATTTGGTGACGTAGAAATTGGTGACAAAGATGACGTGGATTCAGATGTCTCATGAGATTCAGAACTGGTTACAATGACAGAGGAAGTAGAAATTGGCGGTAAAGTATATGCAGTTGATTCAGATGTTACAATATTCGGTGACGTAGAAATTGTTGACAAAGACCAAGACGATTCAGATGTCCCATGGGATTCAGAACTTGTTATAATATCAGAAGTTGTAATCGGTGGTAAAGTAAAATCTGTCGATTCAGATGTTACAACTGATTCAGTGCTTGTCACGATATTTGAAGATGTAGAAAATGGCGACAATGTACTTGATTCAGATGTCTCATGAGATTCAGTGCTTGTTATAATATCTGAGGATGTAGAAATCGGTGATGAAGATGTCAATTCAGATGTTACAACAGATCCAGTACTCGTTACAATATCTGATGTTATAGATGAACTTGATGTGGGTGTAGAGGTAGTGGAGATCGATGGACCATTTTCAGTTGAAAAGCTTGTTGGGACAGTCGTACCACTAGAACTGATTGGAAGAAGTGTTGAACTTGAAGAACTTTCTTGAGTAGTCTGCATCGATGACACTGTAATATCGCTTGATGAAGTTAGTGTTGTGTCTGTTTGGGTATTTGAAGTAGAACCAGTACCAAATGCAGTTGAAACTGGTGTGGATGTTGGTTCTGTCGAACTTGAGATGTCAGTAGTATAGGGAACAGTCGTTTCACTAGCAGTTGAAGATTCTGATACATAAGAAGTAGTTGAGAATGTTGGCCATGAAGTCATTTCAGATGTTATATGATCTGTGGTATATGTTGTTTGGGAAGAACTAGGAGAAGTAAGAATTGTGGGCAAAGAACTTGGTTCTGTAGGAGTACTATCGGATCCTATTGGTGGTAAAGTTTCCCATGACGTTGAAGGTATCGGCTCCGTAGGTAGTGGAGGCAAAGATTCAACTTTAGTAGTTTGACTAGAGACCGTAGATTTAGTAGATATGTATGGCAAAGGAGTTGACAAAGTTGTCGGTAACAATATTGGACCGCAATGTGCCAGTGAATGTAGAATGCAACTCTGAAATAAATAAAAAAACACATTTAAATAATGTCAAAACAATCAGTTGGATAAAACACTTTGGATAGCGTCATTCTATTGTTAATTTAGATTCAGATAAATTACATTTCGCTACGAGCCATGCGTAATTTATTGTAAGGGAAAACGGTGACGTCACTAGCACGTGGCAGCAATTAGAGATGGTTTTAACGTCATTTTAAGTCTTTTTTGAGTAAACCGCCGGACTTTCCTCTTCAAATGACCACAATTCAACAAGTTCTGGTTAATCATATATGAAATTAGATAAATTTTCACCAGCACTACTTCTGTTTGGATAAACGTTTATGCTGGCACGACCATAAGTCACATTGAAGTAGCGCGAACCATAATTACGCGACAAAATGTTTAGTAGAAAAGGCCTTAATTTACTAACCCTGATTATGACGTCAAAGTACAAGTCCCCAGGACACGTGTGCTCTGAAAGCTGTTCCTGTTCGCATATAATGTACTTCTTACAGGAGAGCGGATGTGAAAGTACGGCGGACTGCAGACCCGAGCATAGGTCCCCCAGGACTTTGGGGATAAGTGTCAGGAGTAGAAAGGTTAGCTCTGTGGAGTGCAGATAAAATAAAACCTTGTACACTTTAACTTACAGTACCTTTTAGTAAATATAAAAATTCTATTTTACTCAATTATTATTACTATGATCAATGATTTATCGATATTATTGCAAAATCAATGTTGGACATCACTATGCACGGTCAGAATGTGTATGAGTGCGAGTGAGAGAAAGACATACTTCGTTCTACTCACATTTTTAATGTTGCGAATTTTATTTTTTATTTTACGTATTGATCTAGTTATTTGAATAAATCTAATGTAGTAGAACAAAATCTTTTTTTAATACCAATTTCGTATATCTTTATTACTACCAACAGATAAGGATGGCTATAATATTACCAAAAATATTTTTACTTACCCATTCCTTAGCATGGGTCTCGCAAATCCACCACTAACGTAATGAACGCAATAGCGCTTGGTAATGCTCTAAATTAAACTAATAACTTTAAGTTTAAATAAATAATTACCGTGGTAATTGATTGGTAATATTTTATAATTTGATTTGTTATGACTTTTTAGGTAAATGGCGATCGTATGGATACGGTGTATACAGCGTGTTTCATTTGAAATTCTAAAAAATATGAAACGTGTTTATTGTGTATTTTTAAGTTGAAATATAAAAACATAGTCATCTCTGTCTTTCTAAACATAACGAAAAGGATGGCAATATATTTCGTATTTCAACACCAAAAAATCTTAGTAAAAAATTTCTACTGTAAAAATATAATCGATTAAGATTTTTTACTTTGAAAAGTTCTTCTTTTGTTTTTAAACGTTTTTAAATATATTTTCAATTCTTATCCTAGAATATGCATTATTTTTTAAGACTTTTTAAACTTAGGTATAATTAATAACACATATGATACTAGATATCATTTTTTTAATCATCTTCATCATCATCATCACTTTGTTCTTCTCGTCTCTTCATTTTTGCCTCCAGTTCTTTAGCCGGGTTGAAGACGCCACTCGTCTGAGTGTTGCAAATGTAACAACGAGACGATTTTTTGAAGTTTTCTAACGCGCATTTCTCACAAAAGTAATGTTTACATCTGTAAATAATATAAGCGAGAATTTACTTCAGTTTTTTGATAATTTAGAAAAAAAACTGTAATAGAGGATGTGAAAAAATACAAAAATGTAACAAGTTTTTTTTTTACATTTTATAACAGTTCAAACGTTTAAAAAAACGTACTATCTATATATGTGTGAAGGCTTTACAAATAGTTTAGTAATTTATAAGAAAATTCAACTGCCTGAATTAAACCAACAAATCTATACTAACATTATAATGAGGAGAGATTGGTATTTTTGTATGTATTGAAATAAATCAAAACTGATCCAATTTTAAAAAATCATCATTAAAAAACTACGTCATCAGAGACTAACATAGGCAATTTTTTTTATATTTTTTTAATTTCACGCAGGCGAATTTGTGAGCAACAGCTAGTGAACATGCTTTCACATTTTTTTTACAATAAACTGAAATAAACATATAACTCAATTTCAACAAAACCCTAGAAAAATTTTTTTACAAATCTTTCAAACTTACTTCGTAACAACAGGATCAGTGAAAGGTTCTCTGCATATAAAACATTTGAAGGGTAGTTCATCATCGCTGTGTATCTCGTAGTCGGAGTCATCTCCCCCCTCCTTCACCCCACCCCCTTCTAATTCCTCCCTCTCCAATTGCCAGCCGTGCTTGTAATCCGAACGATCGTGCAAAAACTTGCACGAGTCTAGAAAAGAATAAATTTAAACCATATTTTATATTGAAGAAACAATGGACAATAAAAAAAAATGGCAAAAAAATCTCTACATATTTTATAAAAAAAAATACAAATTTTAAAAATAAAAAATTCTGTCTGTCCACTTTTGATTCACTCACCTCCGAAACCACAGAAACCAGTCTCCTTGTAGTCTTTACAGATATCTGGCTGATAATCCCATCTGTTGAAAAAAAATCATATTTTTAATTTATACAGAGGAGTAAAATTTATCAAAATGCCATTTCGAAACTCTCCAAAACAAAAATAAAAAAAAAAAATAAAAAAAACGACATTTAACCTTATCAACACTACAACACAATTAGAAATGACAAAAAAACAAGTTAATTATAAAAGGGGAAATATAAAACTTAAGTAAAAGACAAAAGAAATATTTAAATACACACTTTTTTTAATCATGTATAAAGCAGCGCTTCATTTAAAACGGTGTTTTTTTATAATATAAGGCGACAAGCGAGCAAGCGGCCTGAATCCACCGAAATGGAAAGCGACCTCTGCCTGCTTCATTTACGGAGGAGGAGACGCACATATAGAGGACATTTCCCCTTCCTATGCGTCTCCACCGTCACAGGAAAAGGGACTAAGGCTTCCGGCACCACACTCATCAGACTGTACGCGGAATTGCTTCCACTTGACATCTATTTTCTGGGTGGTATTACACCGGACGAGTCGGCCCATTCGTGCGAAGATGTTATATTGATTGGTCATGAAATATTTACCTGACAGTAGCCCTCAAGTTAGCCGGAGCTCTGATGGGTCCTTTCCTAACAAGTCCGGAGCTAGCATTACCTGCAGCTGTATCACGTTTCTTATAATATTGAGCGTAATTATTGATCCCACGGTATACCTAAAACACGCAAAAATACTAGAAAATAGTGCTTTAAACTCACAACCTTTACTTTGTGATTATCTATACTATTATAATAAAGCGTAAACACACACTTCTTTGTTGCCTAAGATGTAATTACAGCATATTTTTGAATACTTCTTTTTTTAATAAAAAGCCCTACACTTACGTCACGCCGTAGGCTATATATTTCTCGCCATTAAACTTATGGGGTAAATATTTTGGATAAAAACCCTAATTTGGGAAAGACACCATAAAATTGCTGCCAACATCAAGGAATTAAGATTGCCAAGTGTTGTCAACTCATGTCATTTTGACATTTGCAATTGACAATTTGATGATTTTGACAATTAATTTGATATGTAAAGAATAAAATAATATTATGCTAATGAAATTGCATGGGAACAGCTGTCTGCTCTATGCAGTTCTCTCATTCTCCCCCTGGAGTGGTGAATCCAAGGATTTTGTTATTCTACTAGCTGTTCCCTTGCGACTTCATGAGCATAAAATTATGAAAATTATATTTTATTGTTTACATTTGTCAAATTACAAATGTCAAAATGACATGACAACCTTGCTTCCTTGATGCTGACAGCAACCTATGGTCTCTATCCCACTTCAGGGTTTTTATCCAAAATATTTACCCCATAAGTTTAATGGTGTGAAATATAGCCTAAAGCGTAACATAAGTGTAGGGTTTTTTATTAAAAAAAGAATTATTCAAAAATATGCTGTGATTGCTGACATCTTAGGCAACAAAGAAGTGTGTGTTTATGCTTTATTATAATAGTATAGATGAATGTTTAAATGGATGTATGAATATTAGATATCTTTAGAACCGAATAGATCACAATAAAAATTGTTACAGATGTACAAATAGCGTTACAATTCTGGTTTATTTCGATTTTCAACTTAAACGGACTTCATGAAGATTACCTTATCGTCAGCTTGTCCTTGCAATTCCTCATTAATTTTTTGCGCCTTTTCAAATATCGCCTGTGCATCTTTATCTCTTTCGGTATCTAATTCATATGTTGCGGTTGCATTCTCACGTTGCTGTTGCACAGATAATGTTGTACGGGACTCGGAGATCTGGAAATAGGTAGGAACAAGTAAGAAAAGTTTTTAATTTCAAGAATAATAGCATAAATACATGATGTTACTAGTAAATATATGCTTATGGTTACTCTAAATTTTTATTTTAACTTAATAGACAAGAAATACTGAAATGTTACTTTAACAACAGTCATATAAAGATTTTTTTTTAAATGACTGATGTTAAAATAAAAAAAAAACTTGAATTTTTAACAAATTTACAGTTGTTCATTACTTGGAAATTTACACAGCAATGAATATTTACAAAGTCAATAAAAAAAACAGGGTTAATTCACAAAATTGTGACTTATGTCAGTTTACATAGGAGCCATGGAATTATTGAAACTGAACAAGTACCAACATACCTTATCCTCATCATTGTTGCTATCACTGTCTTCTAGCTCTGGCTTTTGTCGTTTTGGTCCTCCCGTAGACTGTATGTTAGGGTTGGGCTTTTGTGGCCTCTTTGTTGGCAACACTACAGTTTGTTCATCTGAATCTGAACTATTCTTTTCTGAAACATCATGATTATATGAATTAAAATGTCAGATGTCTTATTACCACACTCATAGCCATGCATTTACTAAAATAATTCTTAAGTGTAGATTTAGTATGTGAAATCTATACAATACTTTTTAAGTAACCAAAAACCACAAAGACAAATCAGAAACCTCCGTTTTTAGTGTTTTTTTGTATTACAAGTAAACTAGCGCTTAGCCACAATCCTAACTGATATTTATAAGTAAAATACGAACGTTATTTACCTTCAGAACTTGATGTTTTACGTTTCCTTCCACCTCTATTCTTGATGTTTCTTTTCTTAAAGGTAGTTGGAGTTTCAACTTCTACATCTGACATATTGTTAAACTGAATATACGTAAATATAAACAACTACTCTTAAAGATGTTAAAATAATGCGTACGTAACATAAAAATTATTCTATTTTCACAGTCTATTTTAAATTCGTTTTGTTTACTTGATACTTGTCAAACTCAAATGTCATTGTGGATTTGTAGGTTATTTTTTCAGATGCGTTCATTTTACCAAAATGTTTAAAAAGAGAAAGAGTTTCAATCAATTGTCAATGTTAATTAAAATAGTTTAATAAAACTGTTTCAATTATTAAAAATGAATTGTAAATATTTGTTGAGGTGTATTCACTTAAATCGATTTAAAGTTATAATTTAACAAAACAACGGACGAGCTTATTAAAAAGTAACCAAATACCAATTGTATTACCTTAATGCGTCACAGAGGGACAGTTATTTATTCATTCCACAAAGTGCAGATTTTTTAAATAAAGTCCCCACTTGATTTACTACCTTAAGTTTGTAGGACTGTAGAAAATTATGCCTTCTTTAAAGTTTTTCGTAACCAATAAGTGATTATTAAAGATTAACAAATCATATCAGTAAAGATATCATAAAAAAAGGACCTCGAAAAGTGTCATCAGATAACGGTAGAATATATGTAATAATAAATTATCTTATTACTCGGTACATCCTTGAAGTCTAATACTTTCGCACCTTGGCTGATATGTATTATTTGACCGCTACTTGAAAAATACGTGCATCTCAAGCTTTCTTTGTAAGAATTTTACAAGATAAGATTAGTTTTTTTTTGTTATAAGTATCATTGGCTTTGTGATAATTTTTGACACGTGCTTTGGAATTAAAAAAAAAGTTGCTTTTCGTATTCGGAGAAATAATTTCTAATCTGCATATAATCGAGATAAAAAAGTTAATCATGTCTTTATCCTCCAAAGTAGAATATCTACAATTAGAGGATTATATTTTATAGGCAATAAAGTTGTTGAATAAATAAAAATCAGTGATATATTGTTAATGCTTTTAAAATAATTATCAAATCAGCAACTATCACGCTAACCTTGAAATTGTATCCTGTGACTATCTAATCGTGTTAAAGTATTCGGGAATTATTTTATGTAGTACGTAAGAAACCAGGGTTGTCAAAATTGATTTTTTTTATATAAAGTGGCAAACGAGCAAGCGGCCACCTGAATCCACCAAGATGGAAAGCGACCGCTGCCCATAAACATCCGCAATTGCAGATGCGTTGCCTGCCCTTAATTGACGGAGGAGACGCACATAAAGAGGACATTTCCCCTTCCTATGCGTCTCCTCCACTGTCAAATCCACTTTTCCTTCCCATCCTATCTTCTTAAGAAAGGGTGGAAAGGGAAAGGGACTAAAATTAGGCCTCCGACACCACACTCATCAGACGAAACGCGGAATTGCTTTCACTTCACGCCTGTTTTCTGTATGGTCGTGGTATTACTACTATTTTTCGTAATACGTAAGTTACTTACTTTTATTATTTTATAGTATATTGTGTACAAGTATGTATGTGCATTTAATTCTCATCTTAGTACGATGCTTTGATTGTAAATTGATTTTAAAACCTCGGATCTAATCTACAGGTAAATGTATCATGCGAATTTTATTATCTCGGGTTTTCATTCTTTGACAAAACATGATTTTACGAGTAAATTTAATAAATGGCACGATTTGACAACCCTAAATAAACAAAACATTGAAAAATTCCGATCACGTAGTAACTACGCTCACCTATATAAAACAACGCAAATTGAATCACTTATAATGCACGTATTTTCCTTCGTAAATTTAAAATGGCCGAAAGCGTCGCTTTTTTGGCGCGCTTACGCCATTTTGGATAACAGACGCGAAAAATAGTATACTACTTTTGCGAGGATTTTCGTTTATTCTGAAACGTCCTAAGTCTCAAGACCTCGTTGTTAACAAACGGCTTTTTAACCCGTTCAGTAGTTTGTTCTCGTTTAATAAATGGTATACCACTTTTGCGTTCTGGTTTATCGATTTACTTAACTACAAAACGACTTATATCCATTGGGAAATTTTAAAAAGAAGTCCTTTTGAAATGAAAAGGTTTCGACGAAAGCGTAACGTAAAACTTTCAAATACGGGATGTAATTTTTAAATTGCTTTTTGACATAGAATCCGGATGAATATAGAAATTGCACGCGCTTTAAAAAAGAAGAAATAAAAGCTGATTTAAAAAGTAAATGGTAACTAATATACATCACTTTTAGTTCGTTTTAATTTTTATTTGTAAAATCAGATAATTAAATAATGCAATCACACTTCAATGGGAAAGTTTAGATGGATGGATGTTTGTTAGAGTTTGTAGCATAAACGGCTGAACGGATCTGGATGATATTTGGCATAGATGTAGAACATAGTCTGGAAGAATACTTAAGGTACTCAATTTTGTTTTTTTTTGTTTTAAATTCCAAGCGGAGAGAGGGCAAAAGCTAGTGATTTATTACGTCCATACTTCCAATTGGTGACAAGAGAAAATTGTATGATGCAAAATAAACAGCTAATTACATCAGTGTATAAATATTTATAATAAAATAACCACACTATAGCTGTTCTTTCCCGCGGTCATTTAGGTTAGATTTATATATTAAACATAAGCTAGATAAAAAGTATTTAATAAATTGATTTTGAGTTGAACAATTTTTCAACGATGACTTTGTTTTAGGTGATCAAGAAGGGAGTGATGACTGAGATGACGTTTAGAGTTATTTCGAGGATGAAAACGTGTTACGTCGACCCTACAGGAGTAGGATAAGGTAAGGGAGATGACATGATGACTGTTTTAGTTCCAAAGTAACAATTTTTTTTATTATCCATCAGTTATATTCTTTAACTAATTAGTTACATAACTAAAAGTGAATCTTATAATCTAAATAACCGACAGATTTACAGTTTAATCCAGTGTATTGATAAACTTTGTCCCACTTTTGTCGCTTCGAAACTCTCCAATCTGCTTATAACCGGATTTTTCATTATATGTTACAGAAATGTAATAGAAACATTGAAAGACTTGTTGTCCACAACTTCGTACGTTTATAATTAAGGAAGAGATGTAGGTGTAAACAAGGAAGATATATTAGACTAAAGTATGGATGGGTTGTGTAAAGGATGGCCATAATAAGATATTGTTTTTTTTAAAAGGGAGCTAACGAGCGGCTGGAAAACCGAATTCATCGACAACCATGGATATTGCAAAACCAGAGGAACTACGGATGCGTTGTTGGACGAGAAATAAATAGGCTCTTGGCCCAAAGTGATATTGGTTTGGAAAATTCAAATGTAACGGTTGATAGATGTATGGAAGTGTGACTAACTGAAAAGGCTTGAAGATATTGAACGGTTTAGTCATTTGCACAAAACCAATATTTGTAGGATTAAAGTGCCTCTTGGTTTTTATGTCCTTGGCTAGATTTAGCGATATCAACACCTCTCACCGGGTCAGATAACTTAATAACACTTTAGTAACCAAAGATTAAGAGCGGACGTAAACCTTTGGCTAAAGTATTGCGTAACTGTTGTGCGATTGTCGATTGTTTTGCAGCCGTTCGACTGTTTAGTTGTACAACTAAAAATCGTGTGAACACCTCCATATAAGCTCATAGGAATCAAAGCGATATTGAACAGTTGTGCGATAGAGTAGTACAGGTAACAGCGACAGAGAAATAGTGGTAGTGCCCGCTTTAACATCTTAGCACGAATGGGCCGGCACGCCCCCAGTAATACCACGACCACACAACACAGGCGTGAAATGGAAGCAATTCCGTGTTTCGTCTGATGAGTGTGGTGCCGGAGGCCTGATTTAAGTCCCTTTCTCTTTACCACCCTTTTCTTATAAGGTTGGGAAGAGGTGGATCTGACGGTGGAGAAGATGCATAGAAAGGGGAAATATCCTCATTATGTGCGTCTCCTCCTCCGTCCTACAAGGGTAGGCAACGCATCTGTAATTGCGGATGTCTATGGGCAGCGGTCGCTTCGCCATTTTGGCGGTTTCGGGTGACCGCTTGTTCGTTTGCTTCCTTATATTATAAAAAAAGGTTACGCACATAATATTGGCATTGTTAGTTCACGTGTCTTTTGTTTAAATTGTCCACCTTAGCAACACGGGGGGCGTTTACCTGTTATCATTTATTGCAATTAAAATGGCGCGATTGTTTTCGTGAAGATTGCGGGCGTGTCGAGTATCCTTATCAGATAATCGTCATATCACGGATAGGGCTGCTAATTTTCAAACAAGATGCAAACTTGCCAACCCTAGATAAAGGACAACTATGGCCGAATACTGAAACATTCAAATTATAACAGCGTTTTAAATTAAGAACACTCTTAATGACGTCTGTGAGATTGTAAGTAGCGATTGTGACTTGAATATTAAAAAAAAAAACGGAGACAAGAAAGGTTCTAGTAATTGACCGACTTATCAAAAGATGGTACTCAATTTGTTTGTATGTTTTTTATGTGTGTTACGGCATTCACCCCTGGTAGACCGATTTTTTTTTTTTTTATTCGATAGGTGGTTGCTCGCAGGTCCCTTTATTCAGTGACTTGTGTTATACCATCCTGAAAACATCGATTCTTAATCCGAATAAGTGAAGTACGAAACTGAAAATTTTAAACCCGAAGGTGACAGCCCTAATCGCATATTTGTTATGAATGTGATGTAACATGATCCGTTTTCTAAAGTTTGCAATTAATCTGGGAAAAACAAGCAAGTTCCGCTTATCTTTTATATACCTAGCTTCAGTTATCTGTTGGTGGAAAGTTTTTAAAAAAACATTGACGTGCATAACAAAGGGTCGCACTTCGGGGAATACCGCGACCTTTATGTTTTTTTAAGTTCATATTCGTATATCTCTTTGTTCTAACAAGAAGGGCGTTAGTTATGAATGTGGTACACCGGTAGGTAGAGGTAGAAAGAGGAGGATCAGATTAAGAAGAGACTGAGATGATGGATGATAGAGTTATTTCAAGGACAAAGACTAGAGAACTCGGAGCGCCGACCCTACTGGAGTAGGATAAGGTAGAGGTGATGATCTTTTTGTTTTAACTCGTGTTTAAAAAAACATTTTAATAACCCTTTACATTATTTTA